CCTCCTCCTCCTCCTCCTCCTCGTCCCCCTCCTTTTGCACTGCCCGTCTCCTTGAGGTAGAGGCCTCCCAGGGGCGGGGCCCAAGCAGGGTGGGGTCGGAGGGCCGCGCCGCATCGCCCATGCGTCGCCCGCGGATCGCGAAGTCGTCGCCGCTTCGCGGGCGACGTCGGCGACGCATCGGCGCCGTCGGCGTGGAGAGAATCCATCGAGCCGCACGGCCGATGCATCGGCGAGGCGGGGCGATCCTACGAGCCCATCTGCTCGGACCCCATTTGGAGAGGCCCAGACTGCCCCTCTCCCTTTGGGCCCTGCCTTTTGCAGGTTCGGAGGAGCCCAGAAGTGCTCGCGTCGAGCAACAAGAACTGCGACGAACAACCGTTCGCCATTTTCGGCCTCTGGGGGCCCCCGCTCGCTGAGCCCCGGGACCGTGAACAAAATGACCCAGGATGCACAGCTGGCCCTGGGGAATGGGTCGGGACTTCTGGGGACCCCGTCCTGAAAATCTGGATATCGCCCTTCTGGGAGGCAACTCCGACGAGGTCTTCGTAAGAGCGGAAAAAACATACAGCCCGATGAAGGGGCCATTATGCCAGATCGGGCCCGATTGAGCGGAGGATTAAGCAGAATTGTACTAGATTGAATTGGATTGATCGGCGCTGTGTCGGGTTAGGCCGGCTTTCGACCACGGATATATCCGAATTCAGGGCTCGGAGGGTGGCTGGTCGAGTTTCATGTGGCCTGGTCTCCAGGCCTCCTCCTCCTCCTCCTCCTCCTCCCCCGCCGTCTCCTGGGGCTCGCTCCCGCTCTCCGGAGAGAGCGGCCGCTCTGCCCTCGCCCAGGCGGAGGGGGTGGGAGGGAGGGCCGCTTTGGACGGCTCTGGGCGGCGGCGGCGGGGAAGGAGGCCGGGGAGGGGTAGGACGACAGTAATGTCACGATATGCAGTGGAGGCCTGTCAACAAGAAACCTTTTACAAGAAACCCAACCCTGAGATCCCAGGACGTCCATTGATTTTTTATGTAGGAATGTCACGCCTTCCACAGCAGAACTGTCGCAACCCAAGAAACCCAGGGCGCCCTGGAGGGGAGCAGGGTGTTTCTTGGCATGGGCCTCCACTGTAGAAGAGCGGCGAACTCGTCTTTCCAGGCTCGGTGAAGGCCCAAACCCGCAAGAAGCCAACGACCAATGCTGTGTGGGTCGCTCGACAGAGCGGTGTCAGGGAAAGCGAGGCCGGCCAAGGCCGCCGGCAAGGTCTTCGCGGCGAAGGCTTCCAAAGATGAGTTCTGAGGACCCATCAGCGCTGGGAGCGGTCACGGTGCTGATGTGCCAGCCCTGCTGCAAGGCCAGGTCCGAGGTGGTATCGAATCGGCTCAGAATGCGTTCCAGGATTTCCAGGATACCTAAAGGCATTCGCTTCTGCAGCCCGTGTGGGACAAATCAAGAAATCGGAGAAAGCCTGGAAATCTTGAACCGCGTCATTACGAAGCACCCCGCAATTGCGGATCAAAGTGAGGCGGCGGGCGCGGGGTAGGTCGCGAATGGGTCGCGGGTGGGTCGCGCGGTGGGTCGCGGGGCGAGGCGGGTCGCGGGAGAGGACGGCGACAACAAGTACAACGACGCAAGACCGCAAGAACGCAACAGCAATCCCCCCGCAGAACCCCACTTCGGCCACGCGCCCAAGGACAATGAATGAACGTTCGGCCCCCTCCTCGCCATCGCTCGGACGTCCATTTCCCGTGCATTTGTCGGTTTCGTGCGTGTTTTTTTGGCTCGATGGTCCAGGATGGTCTTCGATGGTTCTCGCCGAGAAAAGATGCACACGTCCGAGCGATGCCAAGCCGCACTCTGATCATGACCTCCCGTGCTCCTCTGACGTAGGGCTGGGGGCGCGCATGAGCAGGAGGGCTGCGCCAAGCACTGCTCTGCCGCGCCCTCCGCAGACCTCCCGCTTCTCCCCAGACGGGCAGGTCGGGCACGGCACCTGGCAGGGCCTTAGCGCAGACAGAGAAGTGGAGGCTGGCTGGCAGGAGCGGGAGGAGAAGGCTAGGTAGGGAACCAAACTCTATACACCGACGCCTTTGTCTGGCCTCACACTGAATCTCGCTCATGGAAGCGGATCCTGGTGTGTACGGGATCCTGGTGTATACATTCTTCTTTGTTTCCCCGGGAAAAAAAGAAATCAAGTATACACCGCACCACCCCGACGTCGCCCCCGACCCTCAAAAATCCCTGGGATTGCAAAACAGCCCGCCACTGGTAGTGTATATGCTCCAGTTTCCGACTAGGGGGGTGGGTGCGAGGGCGGGAGAGGGGGGGAGGAGGGGCACACGTGGCACACGTGGCGCTGCTTCACGTGCGTGTGTCGCCCCACCGAACCTGCTGACTTGTCCTTGATGCATCTCTGACTTTAAGACGCTCCCCAAGCGGAAACGGAAGAGGAAGGGGAGGAGGGGAACGGAGGATGTTGGGGAGGAGGGAAGACGACGAGAAGGAGAGAGGGATGAGGACAAAGAGGCCGGGGAAGCGAGAGCGAGAAAGACACGGACTCTCCCTGGAGCCCCCCATGCGATGAACCTCCTGGATATCCACAGCAGGCTCTCAAGCCTTCCGCCCCTCCCCTCTCCTCCAGATGGGCACTTGGCGCTCTGAAGTGGCCCCCTGGTGGCAGGCCAGGACCTTAGATGGAGTCCACCTGCGACGAGTCCCCAGCAGGACCTCCGGTCTGCGTTCTGAAGGCATGCGCTGGCCCGCGCGGGAGAACAGCGGGGAGAAGACCTCCAAGCGTGAGGTGGGCGGGCTAGTGGTCGTAAGTGCAGTGCCGATGCTTCTGCTGTTCCTGGCTGCCGCTTGCACCTGGCCTATCTTTCGGCAACTCCGCTGGAAATCCTGGAAGTGCCCGAGCGCCTCTCCAGGTCAATGCCCATGGCTCCTGCTCGTCTGACCGACGTCGGGGGAGGGCCAGTTGCGTCGTCGGCGACCCTCTCAGAGGGATGGGAAGGACGAGGCGGCCCACCGATGTCCCACCTGGCCATCCTCTCCATGTGCCCCCCCCAGGACTCCGAACACGAGAAGCTGCTCATCACTTTTCTGTGATTTCGCCGCGGCCTGATGTCAAAAGCAACATCCGCTTGACAATCGCGCTCGCTGGGCGTGCCGTGCCGAATATACAATTATTTCAGATGGGCCCGCCGAACACGGCACGGGCCGCATAATCATAAGCCCGAACTGTCCTAGCCGTGCGAACTCTGAGCAGCGCTGACAAACGACGTTGTGCCGGGGCGCTCGCATTCGGTGGTCCCCATCTCCCCTCTCATGAACGATCAGGACAACTTGCACACGCCTGAGTAGCGCAGCTGCGCCAACCAAAGAGAGATACGGCACTCACCGTTCCTTGCTTGGCTGTGCCTGCGCAGACGAGCCCCGACTTTTGGAGCTCAAGTGATACGTGTGGCTGCGGCCGGGAGACCTTGAACGAACCCGCCGACCCTGTCGGTGTGTGCGAGGGGCTTTTCCGTTCGAGTCGGGCTCTTCCGTCGGAGTCGTCGTCTCCGTCCTCCTCTGCTCCATTTGCCTGGGCCCTCTTCCTCATACGCGCCGTCCAGAGCAACACTGAACATCATCGGAGTGGAATCGAGCAGGTCCCCTGGGCCAGATTGAGAAGCCTCCCCTGAACCTTGCGTAGAGTGGTGGTCGCTTCATCGTCTCCGCTGCAGACAGAGCTTCCTCTGGAGGGGGCACGAAACGTGGGAGGGGTGTGCTTGGCATGGGCGAGGGTCGGGGATCTTCTGACCCGGGTCAATCCAAACCCGGGTCAGCAAGAAACCAGAAAACTGCAATGCAGGAGAAAAAAACTGCTCGCTAACCCGGCCGCCTCGCGGCCACGAGCGGCTCGCTAACTTGGGTCAGCCACAGGGGGTCTTCGCAAGATCCTGCAGGATCTGGTGCCCTGGCTGACTGAAGGGGCCCTGGGACACACAAATAACTTAAATTCACACAAATAAAACGATTCGCCATATCTTCCCATATTTTCTGGGTTTTTATCTTCCTCACCACTTCCCATATTTTCCTATAATTTCCTGGGAGTCGAGGATTAATTGTGTCTGTGTGTTTTTTCCCCTCCTGGCGGACCCCCGTTTGCACTGACCCCCGTCTCAGGGCTCCCGAGAGGGGCGCCATGCGTGCGCGCCGGCCCCGGGGCCGCAGGCGGAGCACGAAGCGTGTGCTGGGGTGCGCCGGCACTGGTGGGAGATGAGCAGGGTGGGGAGGAGGGGTGAGGATGGCAAGAAGTCGGGCCTGTCCCCCTACAAGGGGATTTTCGACTAAAAATAGAAAATGCCCCAGACATAATCAAAAAAACAGTCTCCAGGGACTATGTTTTCTTAGTATTGTTGGGTCTTTTGGGGGAATTTTTGAATATTTCATATCTTTCGTCGACAATCCCCCTGAAGGGGGACACGCCAGACTTAAGGATGGCAGGAGGTGGGGCGCGCGGCGCTGAGAGAGAGAGAGAGAGAGAGAGAGAGAGAGAGAGAGAGAGAGAGAGAGAGAAAAAAGAGAGAGAGAGAGAGAGAGAGAGAGAGCGAGAGAGCGAGAGAGAGCGAGGACCCGACGAGGCAGGAAGGGGGTGCGACACAGGCAGGGCAGGGACGAAGAGGGAGGGGACGGGGAGGGGAAGGGCGGGCGGAGACGAAGCGGAGGATCGAGGACGGAGGACCGAGAAGGATCGCGGATCGAGGGAGGATCGAGGATCGTCGAGGATCGAGGAGGATGCATGATCGAGGCAGGTCCACCCAACAAAACCGAAAGGTTGGACCAAACCCTTGGAGGTGGCGTGTTCAGTCACCTGGGCCGCTCCAGGTTGACCCAGAACTCATGTATTCAGGAGGGAAAGAAACACACAGACACAATTAATCGTCGACTCCCAGGAAAATATGGGAAAACACGGGAAGTGGGAGGGATGATGAAAACCTGGAAAATATCGGGATATATAGGGAATCCTGTTATTTGTGTCTATTTAGTTGTGTGTCCCAGGGCCCCTTCATGTATGGCGCCGCCGCACGGCCCATCGGGTCCAGGGGCGCTCCAGGGCGGCCCCGGGAGCCGCCGACGAGGGACACGAGGACCCACGAGGGCCAAAGCTGGCTATTACCAGCGTCGAACGTATCCCTATCCCCACGATTGACACGCCAAAAGGCGATGAATATCTTAGGGATCCGCCCTCCAAAAAATAAGCAAACCCCTAAGATTGGCATCGTGACGAGGAGATGCCCAGCATAGGGACAGGGACATGTTCCAGGCTGGTAGGGCGAAGTCATCCTCCCAGAGCGGCCGAGGAGCGCCCGCCACACCTCTTTTTTTGGCCGGCGGGTCGGGGGCGGGCCCCCTCCGGTTGAGATAGGGGGCCAGATGCGAACCCTACCCCTACCCCCCACGAGTTCGGAGGGGGAGGGGTGGGGTTCACTTCGCTCGGGATCTCCCGAACAAAGTGAGCCCCACCCTCCCCCTCAGAAGTCGTGGGGGGTAGGGGTAGGGTTCGCATCTGGCTCCCTACAAGAGCTAGGCGGGGCGCGCGAGGCCCTAATTGGGGAGACAGGGCGCGGGCGGGCGGGGCCTCGGGCGGCCGGAGGGTGCAGAGCACAGGCGGTGCCGAAGGTCTTGCGCAGGACACGCCCGCGACACATGCGTGGGCACATTCAAACCATCCTGTGTGTTTTGCCCGTTGCCTGTTTTGCCCCCCCCCCCACCCCACCCCACCCCACCCCACCCCCCCCATCCCGTCCCGGCCCCCACCACTGGGTGGATGTTCTAACAGAGCCTTTCGGGCGGCCCCCGATGAAAGCCCCAACCTGTTCCCAGGGCTGCCCAAGAAGGCCCCAAAATAGCCCCCAGAGCACCCATGTGCCACCAGGACCCTCGAAACATGTCTCGCGATGGCCCCAATATGGCATTGTCCGAGCAGAGAGCGCAGCGCTGCAGGTATAACGGCCAGGCCGGTCCCACTCACAGCTCGGTCCCGAGCAGTTGGCTGTCCTTGACATGCCAGTACATCACTGCAATGAGCACGTAGGCCGAGCAGAGCATGTAGCCCTCGAGCCACGTCGCGGACCCGTCTACAACAATCGAGAGAACCACCAGGACCGAAATAATGAGCACGCTGACGTGCATGATCCCGAAATTCAGAGTCATATCGACGCCAGGGGGGCACAGAAACCAACCCATCACCACCGATAATGGGACCACGAACAAGGCGATCTGCACCGATGAGCCCACCGCGATGCTCACAGACAGCCCAGGCCTGTTCTTCACCGCGAACCGCACTGCGGCTGCGTGCTCGCACGCATTGCCGACGATTGGCAGCAGGATTATGCCTATGAAAGCCTCGCTGATGCCAGCGTGATCGACCACGGGCTCTATCACGTCGACGAGCAGCTGAGATGATACTGCTACCAAGACCGCGGTGCCGGCCAGCAGACCAAGGGAGAAACCGAAAGTCAAGCCGTCCTCCTCTTCCTCATTCTCCTCCTCGCCCTGGCTGTCCGCATCGCCGTCCGCTGCCTGCAGCATCCGCTTATGGGTATATAGCTGAAACCACAAGTATGCGACGTATGACAGCATCACGACGCCAGCAGACACGAGGGAGATCTGGACGACCTCCTCGCGCTCGGTGAGTGCCTGGCCTATGAAGATGGTGGGGAGGGTAAAGGACAAACACGAGACCAACAACATGGTCACGCTGACCATTGCGCTGTTGGAGACAAATACCTGCTGCTTTTCCGTCACCAGCTTGAAGTATGAATCCGCCCTGCCAAGAAGCGGCTCCGCCGCATTCTCCGTCAAGCTCACCTTCGCCTTGACCCCGTCCCCCATCTCCACAATGCCACCGAAGAGGAACGACATGCCGAGAACCAGGAGCATGTTGGACAGCACCGACCCGAGGAGCGTCTCCTTGACGAGCGATGTGAGCCCCGCTCTCAGAGTCTGCACGGTCATGATCACCTCTACCGCGTTTCCGAAGGTCGCATTGAGCAGGCCGCTGACGACCTCGTTATGCAGGCAGGCGTCGAGCTCCTCGGTGGCGTCCCCCAGGATTTTCGCAAGCGGTATCAGGGCGCAGAAGTTCAACCAGAAGGTGGCGTTCGGCCCCCAATCCAAACACGCGGAGAGTATGCCCAGGGGGAACGCAACCAAGAGGATGCTGAAGGGATGGATCAGAATGGACTGCATCCCCGCCATGTTCCTCTTGACGTACGACACAGGAGCCTTGCTCTTGCGGCTGCCTGGGTCGGAGATCTGATCCTGAGACGGACGCTGGGAGTTCCTCCTGTACGAGCGGTTGACCCCCCAGGCAACCGACGGAGGGATGGAGGCCTGGCTCGCACTCGAGAAGTCGCGGAAAGCTCTGTTCTCGGAGGTGTAGCGTGGGCCAACGCCGTCGTCGTGCGAGCACTCGGAGGCGCTGCGGTGCGCCATGGAACACGGGGGCCTGCGGGCGGATCGGCGCACGGAGATCGCAAGACCTGAGCCCAACTCGACAGAGAGCTAAAGGCGGCTCCCTCCGCGCACGCGCGCGCAAGTCGTCGTGCGTTGCAGAGCAGAGTGCGCGAACCCTTCTTTCTCCTCCTCCTCCTCCTCCTCCTCCTCCTCCTCCTCCTCCTCCTCACACCTGCCGCTGAGCGCCCAAGATGTCGTAGCCCAAGCCAAGCCAAACTGAGGGCTTCTGGGAAGCAAGGCCGCCTTCTGAGAAGGCCTGTCACCTTTCTCCAAGTACCCGACGTCTTAGACGGGGCCCCCAAACTCCAAACAATCTTCCAGGGGACCCGTTGCTCATCCCGGCCCGTGGTTTAACAGTCGTGGGGCCAGGCGGCGCCCCCCCCCCGTCGTGACACTTTCACGACGCAGGGATGTCAGGGGCTTCCCAACTTTGTGGTATGCGTCAGGGCTGGACCTAAACGCAGCTTTTCCAAACACCCCCTTGGCTGGGTTCTCCTTTTGCATGGCGCGTTGGCTGTCTCCACCTGCCTCCTCCGGCCTCCTCTCCCCTTCTCTCCTGCCTGTCACCTTGCTCCGTCCTGCGCGCCAACCTGCTTCCTACCCGGCCAGGCCTGGAGGGGGGCTGCGATCTGCGAAAAGGCTGCTGGTGGGCGGAGTAGCGTCCCACGCAAATTTCAAATTAGACCTCGCCATCCCTGTGCGGCTGCGATCTGCGACACGGTCACCACTTTCGAGGGCTTCTGGGGGGTCCCGCGGAGTGACGCCCCACGCAGATTCAAACTTTACCTCGCCGTCCCTGGGGGGCTGCGATCTGTGAAGCTGTCGCCACTTTCGAAGGCTGCTGCGGGGTCCAGCGGAGAGACGTCCCACGCAGATTCAAATTAAACCTCGCCGTGCCTGGTAGGCTGCGATCTGCGAGACGGTCGCCACTTTCGAAGGCTGCTGGGGGGTCCAACGGGGTGACGTCCCACGCAAATTCAAGTTAGACCTCACCATCCCTGGGGGGCTGCGATCTGTCAAGCGGTCGCCACTTTCGAAAGCTGCTGGGGGGTACAGAGGAAGGGCGTCCCGCGCAAACTCAAATTAGACTCCGCCGTCTCTGGGAGGCTGCGATCTGCGAAACGGTCGCCACTTTCGACGGTTGTTAGGGGGGTCCAGCGGAGCGACGTCCCACGCATATTCAAACTAGACCTCGCCATCCCTGGGGGGCTGCGATCTGTAAAACTGTCGCCACTCTCGAAGGCTGCCGGGGGGTCCAGCGGGGCGACGCCCCACGCAGCTTCAAGTCCGACCTCGCCATCCCGGGTAGGCTGCGATCTGTGAAACGGTGACCACGTTCGAGGGCTGCTGGGGGGTCCAGCGGAGTGACGTTTCACGCAAATTCGAACTCGACCTCGTCATCCCTGCGGGGCTGCGATCTGCGAAACTGTCGCCACTTTCGAGGGCTGCCGCGGGGTCCAGCATCTTGACGCACTGCGCAGACTCAGATTCGACATCATTCTTGGGGGGGCTGCGACATGCAAACTGTTCGCCACTTTCGAGGGCTGCTGGGGGGTCCAGCGGGGCGCTGTCGCGGGCCGCCCGCAAGCCCGGCGGCGCGACTTGGAGCGTTCACCTCCCGCACTGAAAAATGCAGGAATGCAGCAAAGAAACTGGCGGGCGAGCCAGGCCTCGCTCGCTTCTTGCACTAACTATAAACATGGTTTAGTCCTGATGTCGAGCGCCGCGGCGACATGGCGTAGGCAATGCTGCATTCTGAGCGCGCTACCGACAAAAACAACACTCTTCGATCTCCTCCCGTCACTTTCGTCGTCGTTCTTTGCCCCCTGCCACCTATCCCTCTGCTGCTGCCGCGCGGACGGTTCGGCCCCTCACGCGTCCTTCTCCTGCCCTTCGTTCCCGCCCCCATGTCCTCCTCAAGCGTGGGTTCTCGTTACTCGTCCTTCTGTTGTTGTCCTGTGAGTCGAGCCACGTTAACGCATCCGGGCGAAGTTGGGTCAACTCGTCTTGTCGCTTGATGGAAATGGGTTGGGTACGTCGCAAAGTAATCCCACTCGCCCTCTGGGCGTCGGTGGTTTAGGGAGTTTCCTCTTCCATCCCTCCTTCTTCCCCTTCGGGAAGGGGTTTACCCCTCCTCCTACCCCTCCCCTGGGCCTGGACAAAAGGGAGTTCCGCGAGGTGTCGGGGCGTCCAAAACGGCCTCGGCGAGGAAGCCAGAATCATTGGTTTTACTATGGTTTTGGCCACAGCTTCGCCTCCTGATGGGGGGGGTCCAAATTCGACCCGCCCCTCCTGTGAACGATCTTAACCAAGATGGCCCAAAGATGGCCCCAAAGGCCCCCAAGGGTGCCCCAAGAGGGCCTCAAGAGGTGGCCAGGAAACCCCAACAGGCCCCAAGGACGCCCCCAAGAGGCTCCCAAGAGACCCCCAAGAGGCCCCCAAAGACCCCCCAGAGGTACCCAAGATGCTCCAAGAGGCCTCGGCGAGAATGCCAAATCATTGATTGCACTAAGGTTTTAGCCACAGGTTGGCCTCTTGGGGGGGGGGGCACTGATTAAGATGACTCCAAGAGCGCATGGGAGAGCCCAAGATGACCTCCAAGATGGCTCAAGCTATCCCAAGATGTCTCACAATGGCTCCCACGATGCTCCAAGATGCCCCAAGACCGCTCCAAAACGGCTCCCAGTGGCCAAAGAGCTCCCCCAGGAGGCCCCGAAGAGGCCCAAACCTTAGGGAATTCAGTGTTTGGCTTTCTCGCCTTTTCGTTTCCGATGGCCATCCGAGGCCTCAAGATGGCTCCAAGATGGCCCAAGAGGGTTCCAAGAGAGGCCCCAGAAAGCCCCAAGACGGCCCCAAGAGCGCCTAAGAGCGCTCCAAAAGCGCCCCAAGAGCGCCCCAAGAGGCAATTGCTTGGGCTCCCGAGGGGCGACGCTAATTAATGCTCGTTTTTTTGTTTGACCGATGTCCCCCAAGATGACCCCAAGAGCGTTCCCAAGGCTCCCAAGAGCGCCTCAAGAGGGCCCCAAGAGGCGCCCAGGAGGCCCCTACAGGCGCCCAAGAGGCCTCCAAAATGTTCCCAATAGACCCCCAAGAGGCCCCAAGAAGCTGTCCGAGGCACCCAAGACGCTCCAAGAGGCCTCCACTGGGGGACCCTTCCTCTGTGTGCTGCCCACTTCCCTGACCGAGGCAAGTCCTCTGAGCATCGTTTCTGGATGGGCTGGTGGGGGTATTTTTTCGGTCGCGTCCGCAAGCGAAGGCGCAGGCGGAATCAGAAACATTCCGGGGCGCGGAAACGGGCCTAATTAGCTACTGGGATTGCCGCAAGCTTGCCGGGCCAGCTCACCAAGCAGCTGCTGTGCCGCGCGGGGAAGCTGACAGGCTGAGGGCACCCAGGGAAGCTCGGGCAACGTGCAGCCTAGCAAAATGCCAGGAAATTCAGTGTATTCCAGGCGGCGTGAACCACTCAGAGAGCGCGAGGACGTACGCGCAGATGCCTACGCGCCTCACACGCCTGGAGTACGCACAGGCGAGGTGAACGATGAACGAGTCGCCAGCGGGGCGCCAGGTCCAGGGCCGTACCAGCGGCGCATGCGAGCTGATAGGGCTAAGCTGCCGAGGTGACGTCGAAAACCTGCCTGACTGGCTGGAATGGGTCCAGGGGAAGCGCCGCGTCTGACGGAAGGCTGAACCACTCCGAAGCGACCAAGGGTCTCCAAGGCCCACCATCCCGAGCACGTGGGGCGCTGGCCCTGTGGTGTACCCTGAGGGCCCGACCCCAGTCACCCGCTTTCAGAGCGCGGTGAACGACGCACTGAGTGTGACAGGCCAGGCTGGCGGGGACGAAGCCAGTGGGGTTACTTCTTTTTTTTCGGTCGCGGCCGCGCGACAACGGTCAGGCGGCGAGAGGCAAAGTCCGGGGCATGCGGCACGATGCGAATTTGCGAACACCGCCGCCACGTTGGCAAGACGGTTCGCACCTGCACAACAAGTGCGCAGTTGCACATGCACAGAACAAAACGAACTAAATTCACAAGCAAACCCACATAGGCGCCGCAGTGTGAACCGAAGTGGACAAGCGAACTGGTGGGGTTACGCGAAGCGTCTAGAATTCGTTTTGTTTTCGTGTTGTGTTTCGTTTTGCTCGGCTTGTTTTGCTGCACCTACCTGCCAAAACGAAAAACAAAGCACAGCCGAAGTCCAGCAACACAGCTTTCAGGTCCAGCCCTGGTCTGCGTGCTCTACTCGCCAGATTGGCCGCGGTTCTGGCCCACTGCGCCGTGCAGGGCGGGCGCTCCCCCATCGGAGGCAGGGCCGGTCGGCGGGTGTGGCTGGAGCACGGTGGTGCCCAGGAGGGGGGAAGATGGACGAGGGATGAGGGATGAGGGGGAGGAGGAATCCGCTGGATGAGGGATGAGGGAGAGGGGGAGGGACAAGCTAGGTGCGCTCGCGTCATATCTGACGTCCTTCCCCTCCCTCCCATCCCTTACCATGGCGCTGATTTTCTCTATCCGCGGACGCGTGTCGTAGCGGACCTGTGGCTCCGCGCGCGCGTGCGTAGTGGGAGGTGCGCGTGCGTGCGTGCGTGCGTGTGTGCGTGGTTGTGGTGGTGGTGGTGGTGGTGGTGGTGGTGGTGCTGGTGGTGCTGGTGGTGGTGTGTGGTGGTGGTGGTGGTGGTGGTGGTGGTGGTGGTGGTGGTGGTGGTGGTGGTGGTGGTGGTGGTGGTGGTGGTGCGGTGCGGCGCGGTGGTGGCGGGCGGATGGGCGCGCGAGAAAGAGGCCCGCGCTGGGGCGAGAACGCCATCCTGAACGACGGAGGCCAAACACCGATCCGAAAATGAGGCCCACGCTGCAGCGGGAGCACGATTCGGAACGATTCGGGAGCAGAAATGAGGCCCGCGCCTCAGCGAGAGCAATATTTTGAAAAACAACGCAGGCGAAAACCCGTTTCCCGGGAATCCTGTGTAAAAAAACAGTACGCGGGGGGGGGTCGGCCATCTTCGGGACGCCATCAGGGGAAGTGCGAGAGTATTTTCAGATTG